TATAGAATTTGCTATATTGCAAACCGAGCATGATGTTATATTCTTGAGTACTTCATGCTATTTTATACATGGTTTAGAAGCACGTTATAGAGTATTTGGCATCTCACATATGTCATATTTAAAAAATGCATAAGGGGCCAACGTGAGCCCAAGAAATATTTTCAAAAACCATAAGCATGTGGTATATCATTCTTTGATGCATTGTGAAGTAGTAGAGTTGTTGCATGCATGAGATTGATGCATGAGAGAGATATCTATGTATTATCTATATTGGTGAGGTTTTGGAGGATACCGGTTGGACTATGTCCTCCCGGGAGATATTTATGGACATTGCGGTCCCAGTATATGTAACGCGGCATATTCCCACGTTACGAGGTTGGAAACTGCCCGCCAGGCTTGGAATCCTGGTTAGGGGGTGTGCACACTTAAAGTTCGATACCTGATTCCACAGCGCGAGAACCACGAGATTGGTTCCGTAGACAGTATGAGATATTGGGTCGGACTTACGCCGTTCCCGATAGGGCAAATCACGCTTCAGTGAAACCCTTAGCCGTCTACGAGCGAGAAGAAAAGAAAGTGAGTCAATAGAGACTTAAAACTTAAAAGAAAGAAAGTGAGTCAATACTCAATAGAGACTCAAAAGAAAGAAAGTGAGCCAAGAGAGACTCAAGAGAAAGAAAGTGAGTCAAGAGAGACTCAAGAGAAAGAAAGTGAGTCAAGAGAGACTCAAGAGAAAGAAAGCGAGTCAAGAGAGACTCAAAAGTAAGAAAGAAAGAAAGAAATCCACAGAAAGTACTCTATTTTTATAAAGAGTGTATGAGTATATATATATATAGTATTGCACGAGATTGCATATGAATATAGAACTACACATGATTGCATATGATTATAGTATTGCACAAGATTGCATATGAGTATGATTATAGTATTGCACGAGATTGCATATGAGTATGATGAATAGTGTTGCACAAGATTGCATTTGAGTAAAATATCGCATGAGATTACATAATGAGAATGTTGATTTAAGATTATTCATCGAGCATGATTGTGTTGTTATATTTGAAGCCTTGTATATCAAGTTTATGTGATGAGGATGTGAGAGCATGAGAATACCGGTTATATGGTTTATTAGCATGATTCTACCTGTGAGCATGATTTGCTTGTTAAATTAATTGAGAGGTTTATATGTTGAAGTATCTAAGTGTTCAGTCTTATATATAAGCATGCCAGTTGATATTATAGGTCGCAAGCATCTAGAAAGTATGTGAAAGCTCTAAAGATGATTTGAGATGAGTTTGTTGTTTACAGGAGAAATCAAATGTTTTCAAAGTATATGCTATAATGCTTTACAGGGTTGAGTGTGGTTATACTTAGCTTCGTGTTAACGGGTGTTTTCCTATTTGTCTATGTGTTGCTTGCAAAACCCCTTTCAGGTGGGCCCAGCAGTGAGAAGAGATCGAGTTAGATTAGTTTCGTAGTTGAGATGTCTAAACTCTAGTTATGTTGATGACTTTGTTTCCAGATTCTAGACTTATGTTTATTTGTAGACTTTCGAGGATGTAGACTTTTGGGATGACTTTACCCCTTATGTTTTTAGTATTTGTTATGGATGCCAGATATTTATTTTATTTCTAGTTCTACCCCTTAGCCTGTGCAATCACCATGGAGTGGTGGTTGTGGCGGTGACATTCCCACTAGTTACCCTTTTTAGTTATTATTTTCGCTGCTTAGTTTATGTTAATGTTTGGATTAGAGTTGTGATTAAGAGATAGAAAAGTGGAGTGTTACACCAGTGGAGGCAACTGCTCACATTTGCAAGATGGACGTAACAGTAAATGTGGATTCTGGGAGGATGGCGACTGGTTTCTATGATAGACGGTTCAGGGACTTTTGAGATATCGACTAACAGTTCGTTGAGGTGTGAGGCAAACCCCATGCTTGCGGAGGCGATAACTTGCAAGGAAGCGTTAACATGGATTAGGGACAAGGGATTCACTGACATACGGGTTGAGATGGATTGCCTGAGTGTGGTACGCGCCCTGTGGGACGCATCACAACCCACTTGTAGGTAGGCATTGTTCTTAGAGATTGTGTTAGTCTTATCAGTTCCATTAATATTTGTTCATATTAACCTTTGTTAAAAGATCAACAAACTACTTTTCTCACGTCCAGGGCTCTCATTATAGTCCAACTGTCTAGGAGGATACTCCCCCCGAATGTTTCATCATCTTCTTATGTAATATAGATTACTCGTTTGCTTTCAAAAAAAATTATTAACTAATTACAAATCATTATTTTGAAATATTTTTCTAAGGGGTATATCTTTTTTTTTTTTGGGTATATTTGTGTTTGCCTAAGGGGTGAAAAAATATGGTTTATCTTTAATGTTGACGAAGAAAGAATCCAAGGGGTGAAAAAGAAAATAGGTTGCCTGCACTTAACTCTTTGGTTCAGTAGGCAATATTTGGGGTACCAAGATTTGAAACTCGACAGCGGCAGTGTGGGATTATGTTCAAAGTGGACAGATCCCTTGTGCGCATTGACATTGGATCTGTCTACTGAGTCACTAAGTTACCGTAATTTACATTTTCTTAAATACTATGTCGAGCCGGGTGTGGGGGGCCTTGGAGTTAGGGATTCAACCTTTAGGGCAAGAAAATGGTTACCTTTGGTATTGATGAAGAAATGAATTCTTTAAAAAAATTAAGGGTGAAATTAATTTGGGGATTTGATAAATAAGAAAACATTAAATTAAAAATAGAATAAAAGTTAAATTGGTACTCGAACTTTATGTGAAATTACAATTGGGTAATTCAATTCAAAAAATTTCAATTGGATCTCTGAATAATTTAAAATTGTGAAATTAAATTTAAAGTAGCTTCTTGTATCAATTGTTAGCTTACGACGGTAAAAAGAAAAAAAAAAAAAAAATTGGTAGTAAAAAAATTAATTTAAAAAAAAAAAAAAAAAACTCACCCCCTCTTAGTCTTCGGGGCCTAAAGCCTAACGAGTCAATATCGTCTCCACTAAGGCTCAAACCCATGACTTCCCATTTGGGAGAATCACTTCATGCCATTTATCAATAAGGTCTTTGAATAAAAATGGATTGTCTAGAGAGTCAATTGTTGTTTTTTTTAGAGTTAATTCCACCATAGGTCCTTTGTCTTTGGTGTCAATTTCAAATTTAGTCACAGACTATCGCTTTTGCCATTTAACATCCCAGACTATTATTTTTTGGACACTTTGAGTCATTCTCATACTTTTTCCATTTTTAGTAAGGGCATTTTTGTCATTTCATATTTTTCTTTTGTTATTTTTTTTTTATTTCAACCGGTTTAATTGGTTCAGGACTTTAGATAACCTCTTATTTTTAGTAACCATATTTTTCAATCGGATTTTAGTAAAGTCCTAAACCAATTAAACTAGTTGAATCTGGAAAAATAACAAAAGAAAAATATGAAGAGATAAAAATGTCCTTACTAAAAATAGAAAAAGTCATGGGAAAGACTAAAAATGTCCAAAATATAATAGTCTGGGATATTAAATGGCAAAAATGATAGTCTAAGACTAAATTTGGAATTGTCACCAAAGACAAAGGACCTCTAGTGGAATTAACTCTTATTTTCATGAGCGACTTTAGTTCTCAACTATTGTGGCATGGTCACATTTAGTTGTATTCTTTTATTTTTACTTCATTACATCATTAACTTTTATGTGATTTCTACAATTAGGCATCCATTTAAAATTTTGTCATTCTTTTTTTTTTCTCTGTGTAAACCACAAGCTGGTCCAGGTCTTTCTCTACTCGTTTAACGGTCCAGGTCCACCTGACTAATCCTCGTTCGCCACGGGAGGCACGAGAGCTGGCCCAAAGGAATCGTCACTTGTGAGAATCAAACTCAAGTTATCCCAAAATTCTCCCCAACAAAGAGAGCTTATTTGCCACTTGAGCTACCCTATTGGGTTAAATTTTGTCATTCTGATCTACTATTTCATAAGGATGTCTAATATGAAATTTCAACATTCAAGTCTCTTACCCAACATGGATTTTCACCACTTGCAAACTCATTTAATTGACTGATAAAATTACATGTTAGCTATATTTATTAAATGTTGGAATAACAAAGTTTTAAAAGAAAGACTAATTATGGTTGATGTGGTAAATACTATCGCATCCAAAAATACGTATAAACGGTAAAGTCGGATCATATGTGGATCATTTAATCGCTTGCTTGTTAGTTTAAGCGGCTGAGCTCGGGAAAGGTAACAGTGGGTCAAAGAGTCCCGAGCTGACAATGGTTATCTGGAAAATGTCAAAAGTCTCAATCTCTCTAGCATTAAGTGTGGTATTTATAGCGTAGGAAGGGAGACACATGTCGGGCTCTCGGCATGTCTGACACGTACCGTACATGCAGTCGGTAGGCTCGAAAACGGCGCCATGAAAGCCACGTGTGATGAGATTCTTGATCACCCACTGGGATGCGATTGGGTTAAAGCCAGGAATTTAAATCCAAATCCTCAAGTAACCCTGCTCGGCGGTTCAAAATTTATTTATTTATTTAGTTTTGTAAATTCTATTTTATACTTTAAAATAGTCTAAATTCAACAATTATTTTTTTATTTTATTTTTTCCGATTTTGAATCGTAACAAAAATCATCCCTACTATTTCACTTTAGTTGTTATAGTGTCCGGTTCTGTTCAAATCAAACTGTAATCATCTCTACATATAAGTAATAATTTGTTGGGTAAGAAAAATAAATTACATAATTATTTTAAAAGTAAAAATGTTCATTTAATATTAAAGGGAAAAAAATTATCACTTTTAAAATAATTGAGGGAGTAAATGTGAATATATTAAAGAGAAAAATGCTATAAGCCTGTAAGTAATTTGAGAGAAAAAAAAAAATGTCATTTTTCCCTTTGAAATTATAATTTGATGGAAAAGCAAGGGTAATGATGTAATAATACTTCATATTGCTATATATATAAACATGCGGATAAACGGAGGAGCACAGCCACACAGCAAAGGCGGAGATGGAGAAGTATTTCGGAAATGCTTACCGGGGCGACCCGGGAGTTCCCCACTGCAACCCGATGGACTTCTGGGGCGCTTGGGCCGGCGCCGCTGCTTTCTCTGCTGTCACCTGGGTTAATCCCTACATTTGGCATTTCACCACTGATGATAAGTACGCATACGAACCCTAAATTAGATTTCATCAGTTTGCAAATAGAGTTTCCTTTGGAAGATTTGTTGACTTTTCGTGCGTTTATTTAATTTCTTTTTAAAAAAATTATTATAATTATTTGGGTATTAGAAGTTTTTATTTACCTAGACTTTGAACAACATTGGGTAATTGGAAATCCGCTTGATCATGCTTTGACATTTGATATGTATTATCACCTCTAATTCTTGATGGTGGCTAGAGAGTAGTGCTTGGTAGTTATTTATTGAGTAGTCAATCACTAATCGATGTTGATAAGGATCGAAGGGTTGGAAGTTTGAATGGGCAGAGGGTGGATTCATAGAGTCCAGGAAGCATGGGGGTTCTGTTGTTTCACAGCTGACCAGTGTAATTAGTAAAGACTTGGTTTGTGGGCTCTTATGGCTTGGAGGATAAGACAATTGTCTCTAAGAACTTGAGTCATAATGGGGGTTTGACTAGTTGATTACATTAGCTGATTTTAGAAAAGTGTTTGGTAAATTAGTTGTTAGCTTATAGCTTATTACATTCAAAATGACTTCTCAAAAGGTTGATTGAAAAAACTGTTTTGAGCAACTTTTTAAATTTTAGCATTTCGAAGCAATAAGTTGTTACAAAAAGCTAATTAATCAAACATTCATATTGATTGTTTAACCAAGTCAAACAGCTAATAGTGGTCAATTAAGTCAAAATTGGCTGATAAGCTAATTATGTTACCAAATAGGGCCAAAGTAGTCATCATACATGGGGTTTTCTATATTTATTAATTCAAGAGTGACTCTCCTATTTGACCGTTTGACCGTCTCGAGACGGGTTCAGTCAAGATGTAGTTGTAATACTTAATCAAAAAATTGTAATACTAATTAGGAATAAAGTGTCCCTATAAGAGAAACTGTAATACTTTTAAATCAAAATGTAAAAGTATTACATTTTTCTTCAAAAGTATTATACTTTTCATAATAAGTAACAAACACTTTATTTTTTATTAATATTACGTTTTTTAGTAAAAGTATTACATTTTTTCCAATATAAGTATTATATTTTCATCTTGATCCGACATGTCACACGAAAAAGGATCAATGAGACGGTCTCACATAAGTTTTTGCCTTCATTCAAATGTTTTTGTTTTGACTGATTATTGAGATTGGATGCATGTGATTAATATTTGCAATCCTACCAAAAGAGGAACTTCTGTTCTGGAACTTTGATTAGTGACACTTCTTTTTGCATCATATGATATGATGCATCATGTATTGGCATTTTTTGTGCAGTTATCATGATAAAGCAATGCTTTATGAGCATCATCACTGGAAACGAGCACGCGACAAGAATAAGCCACATAGGTTTGAGGTACGCATGCCATATATGGCTCATATCTAATTTTTGTTCATTATTTAAATCTCGTATCTTTTAGAGGATGCAGAAGTGAGTTTTATGTTTGTGAGGTGTGGATAGTTTCTTGGAGTCTAGGCAGCATTGATGATGGGGTGTTTTTGTTTTTGGCAGTGGAATAAAACGTCCGAGGAATTTAGAGAGAACTACTACTTCAACTGGCCAGTGTTCTTTAAATAGATCCAACATCCTTGCCAAAACAATTTGAAACAACTGTTTTTGCATTGTGAGATCTCTTTAGTACTAAAAGTTCAAAACAAATACTGTTTTATGGTTTGAGTACATTTGTAATGTTGCACAAACACTATTGAAGTTATCCAAATTGGTCTGTCATCATAGAGATGGGCTTATATAGACAAGTTCAAAAACAAACAAACCGATTTAGATTAGAGTGATATAAACTACCCATATTTCAACTATTAATTTGAACGAACCAATAATTTAGACATGTTTTTGTGTTGAAATTAAGATGCAAGTATGCGACAATATAATGAAGCGTGAAAGGAAGTGATACTGTTTCAACCCTTTTTGTTTCATGGTATTGGCATTTGGCATGCATTAAAACAGGAACATTAAATCCTTAACAAAAAATGGACAAAAGGCATTTTGTTTTACCATGTTGTAAAAATCAGCCTAGGCGCACGATTAGGCGCTAGGTGCCCTTATGCCGATGGGGCTTTAACTTTAGGCAGATATTAGTCTGCGGGTCGATTAATTAGCCGACTTGGCGGCCTAGTCCCTAGGTATCCGAGTTGGCCAACTCGGCATTTTTTTTTTTTTTTGGTGTGCAATGTATATATTGTTGTAAAAATCAGCCTAGGCACACGATTAGGTGGTAGGTGCTCCTATGCCGAGGGGACTTTACCTTTAGTCGGCGGGTCGATTAATCAGCCGACTTGGTGGCCTAGCCCCTAGGTGTCTGAGTTGGCCAACTCGACATTTTTTTTTTTTTTTTTTTTTTGGTGTGCAATGTATATATTGTTGTGTTTTTCTTATTATTATTCTTAGGGAATTGCAAATGCATTTGTTTAATGTAAACAAATAGGGACTGACTAGTACAACATTAGTTCAGGGCCAACCCAGAGGGGCGGGCAAGATGGACACTCACCCTAGGCCCAACGTTGGGAGGATCCCTAACTTTGTTTTTTTGTTTTTTTTTTTTTTTTAAATTGGTGAATGTAAAACAAATGTGCCTTGGGCCCAACATTGGGAAGGGTCCTCTAACTTTGTTTTAAAAAAAAAATAATTGATGAATTTAAAATAAATGTTTGCATATGCAAATATTTGAATCCATGACTTCAAAATTATTTATTAGTTTTAAATCTACTTAACAATTACAATATTTGATATATACTAGTTTTTGCACCTGTGCGATGCACGGAATGGATTTGTTGTAATATATTAAGAATATATGAATCGATATATAATTATTTAAATTAGAACATCAAATATTATATAGTACAATTAAAGATATAGTTTGGATCGTTTATATATTTTGATGTTATCATTGCTTGAATTTGTGCAAATAATTGCTCAAATTAATAGCTAATATCTAGATGTACGCATGCGGTGCTATAACTTTGAAGATTTTATTTATCATTGTTTAGTATTTTCATAAATTAGGCAAATGTGTTCGTTCTCTAACAACTCAGTTATAGAAATGAATTGCCATCCTTCTTCATTTGTATGGAAGATATATATATATATATATATATATATATATATATATATATATATATATATATATATATATATATATATATATATATATATATATATATATATATATATATATATATTTGTCTAGATATATAGCAATTTTTTCAATTAAAAAAAAAACTTAATATCACCGATTATATTTACACATTATTGAAACCTCTTTGTAGACGACATTGGTAGTGGCAACACAATCTTGTTTATCTTCGTCTAGAGCTAACACCTTCAATCCATCAAGACGGGTTACTTGGGTGAAAATATATAATGGTAGAATATCATATCACTCAATTAGTTATCCTTTTATATTTTCAGTCAATTAGTAATATTAGATTCATTTTCAGCCATTTTTTTTTTATTATTTTCAGTCAATTAGTCAATTAGAATATCAAAATATAGTGATATTTTTACCTAATTTTCGTTCCATTTTTATTGATGATGTAGATATTATTATTGAAATATTTCCGTTCCATTTTTAAATTACATTTACTATTGTTTAAACTATGTATTTACTAACCAAGACTATGTGGTCTAATGGTACTTGGGTTGGACTTCCATTTGGAAAGTTGTGAGTTCAAACCTCAGTGGAGGTGTTATTTGTTCTTTGTGTTTCAGTAGGTTCAGAAAGTATATGAATAAATATTACATTCTAATAAATAAAAGCGAATACCAATTATTAATATTCATTTCCTTTTATATTTTCAGTCAATTATTCATTTTTATTTTCAGTCAATTAGTCATTTTATATTTTCAGTCAATTAGTCATTTTTATTTTCAGTCAATTAGTCACTTTTGGATCATTTTTTATTTGCAATCAATTATTAATATTCATTTCCTTTTATATTTTCAATCAATTATTCGAGCCTCAGTGGAGGCGTTATTGGTTCTTTGTGTTTCAGTAGGTTGAGAAAGTATATGAACAAATATTACATTCTAATAAAAGCGAATACCAATTATTAATATTCATTTCCTTTTATATTTTCAGTCAATTATTCATTTTTATTTTCAGTCAATTAGTCACTTTTGGATCATTTTTTATTTGCAATCAATTATTAATATTCATTTCCTTTTATATTTTCAGTCAATTATTCATTTTTATTTTTAGTCAATTGGAATATAGATGCAGTGATATTTTTACCTAATTTCCGTTCAATTTTAATTTGATGATGTATAATATTATTAATGAAATATTTTCGTTCCATTTTTAATTTACCTTTACTATATTTTAAAATATGCCTTTACTATTTGATGATGTAATATATTATTATTGAAATATTTTCTTTCCATTTTTAATTTTCCTTTACTTCTCAAAAAAAAAAAAAAAAAAAAAACAAATAAAGAGAGAGAGACTTCTCAATACTTGTCCACATTGATGGGCAAGCAATTATGTTTGTAAGAGGAGCATTGCTCATCTTATATAGAGTTTGAGCTCCTATTTCCAAATATTTTCAATCCCACATCATTTACAAAGGGAGCTGGTGCGCCGTTGCTCCCCTTTTGTCTTTTTTTTTTTAATTTTTAATTTTAATTGGGAAAATGACACTTTTTCCCCCTGAATTATATGGTTATAGCACATTTTCCCTCTGAGTTGTTCATGTAAGCACATTAGCCCCCTCAATTATTTTAAAAGTGGCAGTTACTCCCCCCTGATATATAAAATTGACATTTCTACCCTTGAAGAAAACATTTTATTTATTTTTCTTCTCCAACAAATTATTGCTTATATGTAGGGATGATCACAGTTCGATTTGAACTGAACCGGACACTATAGAAATCGAATTGAAAATTTTCGGTTATGACTCAGATCCATAACTCAATATTTGGATTTCAATTTATTAAAATTATGAATCGAAAAAATTGGATCCTGAACCGTGAATCGACAGTTCCAGGTCTGGTTCGCGATTTTGAACCGTCTTTATTTTATTTATTTTTTATTTTTTTTTAAATAGTCTAAAATCAACAATAAATGTATTTTGTTTTTTTTAGTTCAGAACATGAACCGGCCGTTTCGGTTCGTGATTTTAATAAACTCTAAATATCAGGTTTCGATTCTAAATTGTAATTGGAATATTTCAATTTAGTTGCTATAGTGTCTGTTCGGTTTGAACCAAATCGTGGTCATAATTTGTTAGAGAAGAAAAATAAATAAAATATTTTAAGGGTAAAAATGTCCATTTAACATTTCAGGGGGAAAAATAGCCACTTAAATAATTCAAGGGGAAAAAGTGATATAAGTATATAACATAGGGGGAAAAAGTGCTATTTTCCCATTTTAATTTTATTTTGTATATCGTTTCGTTTGGATTATTATTATTATTATTATTATTATTATTATTATTATTATTATTATTATTATTATTATTATTATTATTATTATTATTATTATTGACAAATTCGGTAAAATTTTAACGAATTCACCATTTTAACAATTTATCTTTAATCAAAACACTAAAAATATTATTTCATAACTCAGTAATTTGCTCCAAAGTGCTAAAAACTAAAACAATACATACATTTTGGGTTAATCTTTCCCACCCCAACTAATAATAATAAATAATAATAAATAATATATAATAAATAATAAATAATAAATAATAAATAAAAACTAAAATAAGAAGACAAAACCAAGATTTCTTAAATAAGAACCTTTTGACTTCTCAATACTTGTCACATTGCTGAAAAAACAATTATGTTTGTACCTCTTATATAGAGGAGCTCAAGAGCTCCTCTTTTCAAACATTTTTAATGTGGGATCAAAATGATCCCACATTATATACAAAGGGAGCCCATGGCTCCCCTTTGTTTTTTTTTTTTGTTTTTTTTTTTTTTTGTTAATTTAAATTTTATTGTGCATATAATTTTGTTAGGATTATTATTATTATTATTATTATTATTATTATTATTATTATTATTATTATTGTTGTTGTTGTTGTTGTTGTTGTTGTTGTTGTTATTGTTGTAATTTGATTATTTAGCAAATTTGTCAAAATTTTAAGAAATTCGCTTGTTTAACATTTTATATTTAATCAAAACAAAAAATATATATAATAAGTCAGTAATTTTGCTCCAAACTGCTAAAAACTAATACAACACATACTTTTCGGGTTAATCTTTCACAACCCCCACTAATAATAAATAAATAATAAATAAATAAATAAATAAAAACTAAAATAAGAAGACAAAGTTAATTAAGGCTTCTTAAATAAGAACCTTTTGAATTCTCAAGCCCACATTGTTGGGCAATCAATTATGTTTGTAAGAGGAATATTGCTCATCTATATAAGATGAGCTCTCTCTTTTCAAACATTTTTCATGTGGGATCAAAATGATCCCACATCATTTACAAATGGAGCCAATGACTCCCGTTTGTCTTCTTCTTCTTCTTCTTCTTTTTTTTTTCCTTTTTTTTTTAATTTTAATTTTATTTTGTATATAGTTTTGTTTGGATTATTATTATTATTATTATTGTTATTATTATTATTAATTTATTATTATTATTGTTGTTGTTGTTGTTGTTGTAATTTGATTATTTGGCAAATTCGCCAAAATTTTATGAAATTCGCATGTTTAACATTTTATATTTAATCAAAACATAAAAAATATTATTTAATAACTTAGCAATTTGCTCCAAACTGATAAAAATTAAAACAACACATACATTTTGGGTTAATCTTTCCAGAACCCCCTAATAATTTTTTAAAAAAAA